CTTAGGACTCAGTCTTTAGTATACTTGCATTTATGAATTCTTATGCTACTCTAGATTAGCGATTATACTACTAAGCTTTGTAAGCTCAACCTTCGGATGTTTTCGTGGGAAAGTTAGTAGTTGAGCAGTTCTTAGAGCATCGTTGCGACATGACTTCTAGCATTTTCTTTTAGAGTACTGTATGGTAGTTTTAGAGGGCATGTACATTTATGGGACCTTGCTTATATATATAGATTTACTAGAAAGAGTTTGAATTATTATTTTTAAATGATGTATCACAGAGATCTAGTTTTTATATCAGTTATATATGTTTTAAATTATGGTACCACTGATTATATTTTCAAAAGAGTATGAGCAGGTCTTTTAAGTAGGGGTTGCCTCGATAGCCCAATGTGGCACTTTAGGCCCAATCAAGTCAAGGGTGTTACATATCATATTTTATTATCACATTATATAACTCAATGCACATATTCAAGGCCTTTTTCAATTTGGAAAGTGACATTGAAATTTGATTCATCGTGACACTGGCTTTAGCATTGACACATCAGCCACGATGCATCCGAGTCTCGGGACATTCACAGATGAACTTTGGGGATCGAATTCCAAAGTTGAGATGCATAGATCAAAATATGGAGTTTGTTTCCATGTGGTTTCAAAAAGGGAGTTGGTTGGGTAGCTCAGAGGGGAAAAGTGAAGCAAAATAGAGTTTGAAGTACAAGTAAAGAGATGATTTTGGTCATGTTTGAGTGTTGATGAATTTGAAAATTTGTTTGGTTTATTGGAAATTTCTTTGGTGAAAACGAATATAGATAGGCTCCTTGTTGGATTTTCTTAAAGGTCATATAATAGCCTGAATAAGCAACAGTTCTGATGTTGCAAATTTATAATTTTATTTGGTCAACAAGGGTCTGATTTGAGATTTGAAAAAAAAACAAAGGTAAAGACGTTAAATATTTTTATAATTAATCTAAGGTGATTACAAATGCTAGTATCTATTGTAAAGATTCACACCCATCTAATAATAAACGTTCAAATACCCTATAATCGCTAGTGCTCAAACCCGAAACCTCTACCACTAACATCACTTAATTCATGTAAAGACATTACATATTTATTTCAATACAACCAAATTTGAAATAATAAATTAACATGTGATTGAAAGATGTGACAATGAATTTTTCTATAGAAATTTAAATTGAATTTAAATCCTAGAGTTATCACTATTTGAAAGACTTTATAGTAAAAATGAAGGGTTGAAGATAAAATAAGGTTAAAAATAATTTTCTTGAAACTTGTACTGCACATTATTTGTAAAGATAAAACAAAATAAAATATGATTATAGTATACAAATGGTCTCATGGAAATAGAGTAATGTTTTGTTGAGCTTTTCTATTGTTAAAAAAAATCAAAATGATCCTTTTACTATAAGTCATTATTATGTTGAGTCCTCTAATTATTAAAAGTTATAAAACGAACATACTATTATTTGTATGTTCCAAACTCATCATTTTTCGTTAAAAAAATGGCGGTCATATGAGTTGAATGTTAACTTGCTAATTAAGATATTTCCATATTTTGATGACGTCTATCGACACTGTCGTTGTTTTTAAGCACTAACTTGATGACATAATGTAAATGGAGAGTCGATCTATAAAATACAACTCAAACGGTTATTAGATCATACTTTATCATATCTCAATAAATAGAATAATGTCCAACTCATAAGGCCACTAATTTTTAACAAAAAATAACGAGCTTGAAACATATAAATAGTGAAGTGGTCGTTTTGTAACTTTTAATAGTCAAAAGACTCAATAAAAAAACACTCTTTAATCAAGTGACTATTTTATACCTTTTAATAACTGATGAACACAACAAAGCAACACCCTATATTAATGATAAATTTATTATTATGGTTTAATTTTAATGAATGTTAAGATTTTAGGCTAAATTTGTGGAGTTAGAAGGCAAAGAGCTAGTTTGGCATAACTTTTGAAAAGTGACTTTTAAAATAAAAATATGTTGCATATATCTCATTATTAATGTTTTAATATATAAATCATGAATTTTATTTATTTTTAAATAATTAAAATAAATTATTAAAAGTAATAAATTATTTTTTTAAGTATGCTAGTATTAAATTATTAAAATAAAATGTAAATACATAATTCAGTGGAAACAATGTATCAGTAAGGGTAAAATTATAATTTGCTTCAAAACGCAAAGATTAAAATGAAAAAGATAGGAATCCTAGCTTTTGCGGTTGGCTTCAAGCCATCTCCATCAAAATTTTTCCCCATTTTTTACCTGTTTGACATTGATTCTGCGGTCAAAATATACTTTTTAGCTAAAAGTGATTTTCAAAAGTATTGCCAAATGAACCCTAAAAAAGAATGAATTAAAATTTTTGGATCCTAATCGCTGATAATAACAGTGATGGAGGTTGATGATAAGTGATTTAGGTATAATTTAATGGTCAAAATGATATTTTATCTAAAGTTTAAATCAATTAATATTTTATCTAAAGTTCATGATCAAATTAAAATATAATCCTTTTACTAACATATCACTAACGTCCCAACTACCAAAAGGTTACTTTTTTAAGTCTATGACAAATAATAAATAAAAATAAGGTAAACTACATCAAATACCACATAACTTTAGACGTTGTATCGTTTAAACTTTCATTTTTTGCCATTTATTACACTAAATTTTGGTTTTCATTTCAATTATAACACTAAATTTTAATTTTCGTTTTAGTTATACCACTGAATTATTAAATCATTAACAACTTGATGACGTGATTGATGACTGTCGACGTGGCTAACGGCTATCAATGTAGACACCACATCAAAACGGCGTCATTTTGATTTGACTGTTAACGATTTAACGGTCCAGTGATACAATTAAAACGAAAACCAAAATTCCATATTATAATTGGCAGAATTGAAAGCTCAGTGGTATAAACGATACAACTCCTAAAGTTAGGTGATATCTGGTGTAGTTTACCCTAAAAATAAAACAAAAACAATCATTTTAATAATTTACTCTAAAAAGTTTCATAAGTAGCCTCATGTTAAATTAGGCAATATATATATATTATAAACACTTAAATTAACTTAATTTGATCTCAACCATAAATCGAATAATAATATACACTGAAATGTACTCAAATTTACATTTTTTAATCCTTACAATTATAATCATGTCAATCAAATTAAGACTCAATAGAAATATGTTCAAATCTTATGACTAAACTACATGTTTTTAAATCACAAATTAATGATATATATATTTTAATTGTCATAATTTCATTTTTGTTAAATGGCATAAAAATTTAAAATTTCATAAATTTGCATTCGCCCAATTATCCAAGGGCAACACCATAGGCAGCTGGGCATCGGTCCTCTTAATTTGGTAATTTGTCTTTTTGATCCATTAAAACTTGCAAAATTATAAACAAATTGAATGGTAAAATAATATTTTGACCTTCCAAAAATTCACAATACCATCATAACCCTTTAATAACATTTGACTTCAACTATTTAATTGATTTCTAAATTTAATACAATATAGAGGCAAAAAACAAATTTTAACAAAAAATAATAATTTATTTTAATTGTTTTGAAATTAGATAAATTAAAATTTGATCATTTGTTTTTAATTTTAATTGTTTTAGGTCTATAATTTTAAAAAGAGAAAATAACCTCATTGACCAAAAATGCCTTATAATATACGATTTTAACCAACTTTTTTTGGATTTGCCAAAATGACCAACTAAATCGCAATGCGATCGATAATTCGCAACGCGATCTCCGGTATCGCAAATCAGTTTCCAGATTTGCAACGCGAACTTCGACAATCGCAATGCGAACTTGGACTATCGCAATGCGAACTTGTAAATCGCAATGTGATAGTCGACTATCGCAATGCGAACTTGGACTATCGCAATACGAATATGTAAATCGCAATACGATAGTCGAAGTTCGCATTGCGATAGTCGAAGTTCGCATTGCGATAGTCGAAGTTCGCGTTGCGATTTTCCAAATTCGTTGCGCTAGTCGAAGTTCGCATTGCGAATCTGGAAACTGATTTGTGATACCGGAGAGCGTTGCGAATTATCGATCGCATTGCGATTTAGTTGGTCATTTTGGCAAATCCAAAAAAAATTGGTTAAAATCGTATATTATAAGACATTTTTTGTCACTGAGGTTATTTTCTCTTTTAAAAATATACAAAAAAGTTTATATCCATTTTTTTTACTTTTAGATTTAGATTCTCATATTCACTATTTGAATTAGCTTTACTTTTACAAATAATTAGTTAATTAAATTTTAAACATTCTGAAGGGATTATAAAGTAATATATGTTTATAATTTTTTTATTATATTAACAATACATACATACACCCTACATATATAATTACTCGAATTCAGATACCCTAAAGAGACACAATCCTTTCTATCACTAAAATCACGTAATAAGTTTAATTAATTTATATTTGAATTCATTGTCTTTCTTTTTATTTTAAAAAATCAAATTTATTGAATGTAATTTGTCAAATGATTTAAATATATAACTAATTATATAAATTATTTGGGATTTAACAAAGAAATAGATTAAGATTCTAAAGTAAATTTATGATTAAAATTTTATATAATTGCAAATATAAGTATATAACATATTGCCATTCATATTTTAAATAAAATAAATTTTGTATTTTTTTCAACTTTTATTTTTTTTATTAATTCAACTTTTAATCTTAAATGATCTAATATATATATATATATATATATATATATATATATATATATATATATATATATATATATATATATATATATATATATATATATAAGAGAGAGAGAGAGAGACGGTTAGTTGGCCTGCCCCTTCTAAATTCCCTTCAGGGTTGCCTTTTAGGCTTTGTTCTGTGTTAATTTCTTCTTCTAACTCGTTTTACTGCTTGGTTTGTATTTTCTCTGCAAAATTCGATTAGGGCTTCGGACTTGGAGCTAACCACTCAGCAAAGCTGGATAGGCACAGAGGCTACCGCTATGGAGATAGCAACAACCATGACTCTTACTTCAATAACAGCAACCCCTATCGAGCGCCCTCGCGTTTCTCCGACGCCTCTCCTATGAGCCGCTACAAAACCAATAATGATGCCAACAGTGATTCCAACGACAAGTTTGATGCCCAAGATCCCTACCTCCACCATCGAAGTAGCCCTAGCAACTTCCGAGGAGGGCATCATCCTTTCGATAGTCCTCCTCTTCAGACTCACAACAGCGGTGGTGTCGGGGGAGGAGGAGGTTTTCGCCCAATTGGTGGTGGCTCAGGTGGCGGAGAAGGGGGAGGGTTTCGGCCTATGGCTGGTGGTTTCGAGGGTAATTATCAACAACCTCCACCACATCCTGTGCAGCAAACTTACACGGGACAGAAACGCCCTTTTCCCTTCCCTGGCCGTGGAGGTGAACCTCCCAACAAAGGTTTGTTTTTCTTCCAACAATTGGAGGTTATTATATTTATATATTTTCAATTGTATTTTTCTCAATCATATACTGCTTCCACTAATTGAATAATTCATCAATTCAAATTATTTTAGGTCATTTCCTTATCTTTTTCTTCTCTGGTGAACTTCCATTTCGAAGTATAAATTTACCAAGTCTTCGACATTTACTTCTAGTTTTTGTTCTTTGGCTGTATTGATGGATTCAGCTACAGATTATTTTGTCTTGAATTTTCCTTTTAATATTCGTATTTGCCTTTCTTTTATTGACTTTTGACCATTATAATTGCATATCCTGACCATTATTTGCATATATTATTGACTTATCCTTTACTTTCATTTTTTTTCTGTCAAGATCGATTTGGTAGTGCTGGCAGTGGGGGAAACTTTGCCAAACTTTTTGTGGGATCTGTACCAAAGACAGCCAGAGAAGAGGATGTAAGTCAGCTCATGTGACGGATATGAATTGTGTATATATTGAGTAAATACCACTTTACCATCTAATATTAATATATTTTACATTTTGGACTTTTTGGTATTATTTCTTGAACAAATGATTTTATTCATCTTTTGTCAGATTCAACATGTATTTCAACTGCATGGAGATGTGATAGAGGTTGCTTTAATAAAAGATAAGAAAACAGGCCAACCTCAAGGTATGTGTGAATGTTGTTTCATTGTTATTATGCGTATCCCATTTCAGGTCTGCTGAGAGGCTGATAGGAGCGAACATTAGCTCATCTTCATCTCAATTTGTTTTTGATACAAGTTTCACGCTTGTTGGTTTTGGTTGCTACCACCTTTTTTTTTTGTTGCTCCTGCCAAAAAAGGAGAGAAATGTAAACCCATTAAAACCTGGTTTATGTATAGAAAAAAGTAGGGAACTTGTACTGCAAACAGAACCTGTTATTTAAATAATGGATTCTGTTGCGAGGGCAATAGCCAACAATTAATTTTCCTTGAAATGTCTATTTCTGTTACTGTAGTATATATAAATATATAAATTAAAGGATGTGCCACTGTTGTATTATGTATAAACAGAAATTCTATGATTGTTGTGTTGAATGGTTTATATCATATTATTTGTTGCAAGGTTTCTGTGCTTGACTGTTATCTTGGAGAATCTGGTATTTCTTTCTATATGGGGTTGATTTTTATGTAGACCTGCTTTATGTTTATGTGATGTATTTGAAGTTGGTTGTTTATTTCTATCATCTTTGCAAGATGACTGTTGGGTCTGGACAGGGAATGGGGAGTGTTGTTTTTCAGCTAAATCTTGTGTGAAGTGCTATTTTGATTGGGCTGGTAATGAGGAAGATGATGGTACTTGGGACAACATTGTATGGACAGGGGTTGCTCCTCCTCGGGTCGAAACTTTTGTTTGGCAGGCTGCTCATCAGAGAGTGGCAGTTAGAGAGGAATTGATAAAGAGAGGAGTTTCAGGGATTGAAGACTAGTTATGTCCTTTGTGTGGTAAGTGTGTGGAGTCGGTTTCTCACCTATTTGTTCATTGTGAGGTTGTTAGAGCCCTGTGGTATAGATTCTTGTCATCTTGGAATGTATCTTTTGTGCCACCTCAGACTTTGTTGGATTTCATAATCGTTTGGAATGATTTAATCCCGAAATCCACCATTTGGAAGTTCATCCCTAGGGCGGTTCTTTGGACGGTTTGGAAGTGTAGAAATGATATTATTTTTGGGAAAGAAAAGGTGGATGGCCCGTTATTGTTCTTCCTTGTTCGTTTTAGAATTGCATCATGGTTTGTCGCGAGATTCAATGATGTGCAGATTAATTTTGATTCTCTAGTGGGTGATATTAAAATAGCTGATTTGGGGGTAAGAATGAAGAAGGATTCTATTTCTTGTTAACATTCAGGCTGACTTATTAATAGGGGATCCATCGCTTGCGGACAGAATCCATACTAAGATATCTAAGAAGAAGAAGGTTATTTGTTGGTCTCCGCCCCCTCATGATTTCTTTAAATTCAATGTTGATGGGGCGGTGAGAGGAGATGGGCTGCAGGGAGGAATTGGAGGAGTTTTGAAAGATTCCAATTGCTCTATTTTAGCCTCTTTCTCTATGGCTGTGGGACCAGGCCCTCCTATGTTAGCTGAGTTAAAAGCTATTAAGCAGGGAATTGATGTATTTCTTTCATCGGAGTGGGAAACGAAGGGAAGACTTATCCTCGAGAGTGATTGCAGGAAAGCAGTGGATTGGATCTTGATACCTATTTCTGCCCCAACGTTCTGTAGCTCTTTGGTTGAGGAAATTGGGGCCTATGTATCTGCTAGGGGTTTTATTATTAATTGGATTCCAAGGAGTTGTAATTGGGAAGCAGACAAGTTAGCAAAAGAGGGGATTGGTTGAGGTGTTGTGTTCTGTTGTTGTAGTGTTATGTATTTTATCTAGGGAAGTTTATTATGTAAGTTGTATCTTATGTAATTATGGGTTATTAATAAAATGAGGTACTCTTTTCCTCCTTCCGTTAGTTGCCTCTTTCACAAGAGCCAACTAAGAGGGAGGTTTTTAATGAGGCCTCCTATTCCTATAAAAAAAAATGTTGATGGTGCGATGTCTAAGGAGTGGGATAAAGGAGGCATTGGTGGATTGTTAAGGGATGCTCAAGGGTTGCAGCAGGGTTCATTTTCCGAAAGGATTGGGAGGTCCTCCTATTCTTTCAGAGCTATTGGCTATAAAAAGAGGGTTGATGTATATTGAGGAGAAATCTTTGGTTTCATTTCCAAGAGTCATCTTGGAATCAGATTCCCTTAATGCACTGAAATGGATTAAAAATCCGGGTGTATGTACTCCTATGTTCCAGCTGTTGGTGAAAGACATTGCTGCATTAGTGGAGAGTAGAGGGGTAATTGTTAGGCATAATTTGAGAGCTGCTAATTGTGAAGCGGATAATCTAGCTAAAGAAGGAATAGGATGAATATTAGATTATTGACTAGGTTGCACAATTATTGAGCTGGTTATTTATGTTCTGTGTTTGGTTTTTAAGTTTTATGTTGTAACAGAACTTCTTAGGATGGATATGTATTATTCCGGTATTAATGAATTTTTAGGCACTCTTTTCCTCCTTCCTATGCCCTTCATGTTATTGTTGTAACGTGGAGGTTAAGAAGGGGGTTTTTAACGAGGCCTATCCAATTTCTATATAAAAAAAAAAGTTGGTTGTTTATTAAATATGGATTGTACTTTAGTTCTATGTGTTGAAAGTTCCTTGGTTCTGTGCATTGTGGTACTTGGAGCTTTACAAGCAGTCAAGCATCTTACTTTTGTGGGATTGATATATGTTCATGGAAATTGATTGGTTGTTGACTGTGTATTTGAGCATGTTGGTTGAAATATTTTCTATAATTTGTTGGATGGCTATTCTATACTGGTGGTCACCTCATTTTTCTGCATCGACTTGTGTGCTTATAATAATGCCAAAAATTCTTTGGGAATTTTCTTATCTACAATAGGAAATTGGTTGATGACTGTGTACTGGGGCATGTTGGTTGAATAATTTTCTATAATCGGTTGGATGGCTAGTCTATATTGGTGGCTAGCTCATTTTCTATATCGATATGCTTATAATAATGCCAAAAATTCTTTCGGAATTTTTTTCATCTACAATAGGAAATTAGTTGCTGCCGCCGGTGTATGTTATGACTACAACCTGGTGCAGCAGTTCATTGCATTGGTTGTTTTTTTTGCAAATTTGCGTTTATGCTCCAGGCTGGCTTTGCAATTAGATTTCTCTTTTTTTCCCCTTTAATTTTCCATAAAATCTATGCGATATTAATATGTTTGGGTAGTTCATCTTGTTGATGTTTATTTTATTCCACCTATCATGTCCCACTGGAAAAACAAAGCTGCTTGCCGCAGATTTTGGATGCTGCTAGGTATTCCCTTTTTTGTACTTCTCATTGTTGATTGCATCAGTAGTGCCAGTGTCGCGGCTGACAGATTTCTCATTTTAAGGAAGCTCATTTTCCTTTTAATAGCTTGGATGCTGTTGTGGAATGTGAATGTTTTAATGTGCATGGAGGAAGGAGTGTATTTGAATTTAAATCAACATGAAGAATGGGTGTGTTTGAATTTAAATCAACAAGGAGGATCAGATTATAGAATTTGTGCAGCATAGTTGCCTGAAATTGTTGTTCCCTTCTATCAGATGGCTTTGTGAGACATTTTTTTCCCGTTTGTCTATACTTTGCAATATAGGATAACTTTTCTATGAAAATTCCTTGTTATTTACCTTTTCCTTATGTATTCTTCATTGTCATGAGTTGTCAAGGCAGATGAGTTTTACATTATTCAGAGAGAACTGCAGCCCATTTTCATGGGAATTATTTGTAGGTTTGTCAAAGCTTCATTTGGTTTTATGGGATACTGGTGAGGAGTTGATGTTTTCTCTGAGTGATTGAATCTATGTACTTATTGATGCTTGGTGAAGTGAGTACATTGATGATTTTGTCTTGGAACGATTAGATGGAGCTTCAATAGGTCTGGTCTACGTACATTAATTTGATTTTATTCCAATTCTGAAGCAGCAATACAACTATGAATATTAATGAAATTGGCGCTTGGTTTCATCTAGTGCTTGTCAATTTAGAATTTATGTTTGATGTACCGATTTGGTTCTTGAGAGAGGTGGTGTAATTCAAATGTTTGTACAAATTTTGTTCTTGAAAGTGTGCGGAGATGGTGGAATCCCAGATTCCTTTTGTTTAGCGTTAATATATCTACCATAAGTATGCAACCTATGGGGTCTAGGTTAAATTTGTTATTTCCAACTTGAATGACTTAATAGTTTAAATGATGTGGATGTCTTATTTGCACAGTAAGCTTATTGCTGCTGTTTGCCTCTTATATATTGATACCCTTAGCCTTTGTATGTTATTTGCTTAATTAGACTGCTAGAAAATGTATGGTGGGGGATTTGTTTTGGATTGAACAGGATGAAAATGACGATGGGAGGCCTAAAATGCTTGCTCTTTGGTTCTAAGGTCGTTGGACCCTAGATTTCTGTTCTGCTTGGCGCGTCACTTATTTAGGGCCCATTGGAAGAGAATTAATGCCACTTGACATATTGTTATGTGCTATGCACATTGATAATCTTATTTGGGGCCCATTGGGGGAGAAATAATGCCCCCTTTGACATATTGTCACGTGTTTTAATGTGAATGACAAATAGCTGTTTTTGTAGAGTTCTGACTTCTCTGTACGTTAGTGCCTGTCGCTGACACCTCTATGTTTCTTGTTTGGGACTGGTTGGGAGAGGGGTAGAGTTAAGGTTTGAATGTTCTTATGTGTTTTCTGTGTAGCTCCCTCTGGGGGGTATCTGGATGCTTGCCTTGCTTTTTCCTTTATGGTTTTGTAATATCCTCTCTGCATGTGCCCCTAGAAGTTCCGTTTGTAAACTTGGTGGTGATTATTTTCATGGAAAATTGATTCTGTTCAGCTTCCAGCTCATTAGAAATTATTTTCTCTCTTTCACTTCTCTCTCTTTCTGCCTCCTACTTCTCTGACTGTATTTCTTTAGGTTCTTTTGGTTTTATCTGGTTTGGTACATGGATTTGTAATGCGATGATCAGCAAGATTGTTCTTGCGGGTCTTTTTCTTGAACATAGCAAACCATTGGTTGATTAGTTGCATGTTTTAAGAAAATTATGATTTAGTAATATATTTATTTTAAATAACTCAAGCAGATGGACTTACCACTTTTATACTACATACTATCTAGTTCTACCATCTTCTATTAAGTAGTTATCTGGAAGGGGTGTATTCTGTAAATTGAGTTATTTGTGTTATGTTACACTGCCTTGAGAGAGATGATTAGTTGAAAGTGTTTTCTCTTCTGACAATTCTGATCTAGTGGCTGACATGTTTTATTTTTGTATGGGATGTGCTAAATGAAAATAAATTTTATTGTAAAATGGATGTTTTGGATTTCCCCCCCAACCCTTTCTTTTTCGCGCTACATTTATATGCAACTGAACTGTAACAGCCTTATTTCATGACACGTGGATCTCTTGGTTGCATGGTTTTTTATGTACCTGCCTATCTGCACCATTTCTGTGGGTGCAAGTGATCTAACAAAATTAGAATTAAAACTCTGGTTGCGCAGGATGTTGTTTTATAAAATATGCAACCTTAGAAGAAGCTGATAGGGCTATTAGAGCCTTACACAATCAACATGCTCTGCCTGGGGTGAGGTCTTTTGGCCTATACGTTTTTTTGTTTGCTTGTATATTCTGAAATGGTTTTACATTCTCTTTCAACTGAAATTGTTGTACATTCTCATTCAAATTCACAGGGAGTGGGTCCTATCCAAGTCAGATATGCTGATGGGGAGCGAGAGCGCCTTGGTAATAATTTTACATATTTGTAGGCTCTTGAAGCTTGATCTGTAATTTGTGGGAATGCGTCAATAGAAGATCTTTGTGGTTACATGCACTATTATCATATAATTCTCAGCTTTAAGCATGTAATATCCATGGCGGTCACTTCTACTAACATGTGGTTTTTGAGTTTAGGCGCTGCATGCCCTTGCTTTGCTTAAGTAACCCCTTGTTTACCATGATTTTTTTAACGCCTTCTAATTTCAGAATGTAGGAAGCTTGTATCCCTCTGTTCATATTGGCATAGTCTTCAAATGACACTTCTTCAAAAGCATAGATACATGCTTATGAAAATTGTCTTGTGTGTTACACAATCCAAGCATATTTGTGTCTGTAGTTGAATCTCTGTCTCATAGTTGAAACTTGAAACTCCAAAAGGTTGAAGAAAATGAACTTTAAGTAGTAAATGATGCAAGTAGGTGCATGATTTGTCAGATTGATTGGAAACATTATTGTTTCCTTTGTAAGCATTAGTGGGAGATAGATTTACAGGCTTAGGTTAAGTTGGCTTTCCATTGACATTTGACAGAATCACATAACTCTCTAGATTTATCTGTGCCTTCTACTTTTGAATGTTGTGGTGGATTGGGATCTTTTATTTTATTTTATTTTTTGGGGGGAGGTGTGTGGAGATTTTGTTCATTATGCATGATGTTTCGTGCTTAGGTTTTTTTATCCTTATATTGTCTTATATATCCATAATAGATTCTTTTTTACCTTAATGACAGGTGCTGTTGAGTACAAATTGTTTGTTGGATCGCTGAACAAACAAGCTACTGAAATGGATGTGCAGGAAGTAAGTCATACAGATATTTTATTTGTACAAGTATGCTGTCTATTTCTGAGGCGTATATTATTCTGGTGTGAAAGAAATTTTGCTAATAACCTTTTGTAGGATCACCTCTATTGTTAAATGTCTTTTTTCCCTTTTTCTTATGCATAACTCATATAAATTGACATTATTTAACTAATTTTAGTTCTCTTTTTTCTTCTTCTTTATACATTTTACCGAAATAGTAATTTCTGTTTCATTGGCAGATTTTTTCTCAGTTTGGTCGAGTTGAAGATGTTTACCTCATGCGTGATGAATTAAAGCAGAGTCGTGGTGTGTCTTTGAGTTCTATACTTAGTGACCTTGGATTTGATGAATGGTTTCCGTTCTTGTTTCTTTTGTTACAATATCTTATTAAAATTTAGATCTTTTTGATAATTTCTGTCGAGTTCTTAGATGTTCACATAAAATCACTTTCATTACATTTTCACCATCTTTCATATAATTATTGTTTTCATTTTGAAGGCTGTGGGTTTGTTAAATACACCGACAGAGAAACGGCTTTAGCAGCTATAGATGCTCTCAATGGAATTTATACAATGAGAGTAAGCATCTATATTTTTCTCATAATGGTCTGTTTACTGATTATTATTGAAGTGTGGATTTATATTTTGTTTTCTACATTTTAGGGTTGTGATCAACCATTAACTGTCCGTTTTGCGGATCCTAAGAGGCCTCGGCAAGGATCTGGAGACCCAAGGTTTTCGTTAAAGACATTTTATGCATTTCTTTTATGTGTAAACTTGTACGCTGATGTAAATAGGAAAGGACCATGCCTTTGATGTTTTGCCATAGGTGTTAATTTTTGTTGGAGGACACTATTTCCCTTCCATTTGGATGAAAGTTAATTGTGTATCTGTTGGTCAATTCATCTGTTGGCACGTTGCCTAAGTTACACATTGATTGAATAAGTTGTAGGCTGTCTTTTGACTTGCTTCCTTTCCAGGGGTGGTGCTGCTGCATTTGGAGGTCCAGGTTTGGGTCCTCGTTTCCAAGCACCAAGGCCTAGGTACCCAAGCAAAGTCCAATGCTTTGAAGGCTTAACCTATTTCCTTATTTTGTTTGGCTATGTGCCTGAATTTCTGTTTTGATGCTATTAATTACAGACCAGCAACCAACATTGGTGACACCACGGGGGATCGTGTTCCACCTATTGCTTGGCACCCTATGAGTCCACAGAATATGGGACAAACTCCTAATCCTGGCGTTCGGAGCGGGGGGAACCAGATGTTACCTAGGTCTGCTGACATAGCAATACCTTTAAATCCAGTAAGAACAGTACTTGTATAGCACATAGTTAATTTTTAAGCAATTTTTCTTCTTTTTGGCATGCAACATATTTTATGGATGTTATGCTGAAATTGTATTTTGAAATGTGAACAGTATGAGTATACCTTTGACTGTAAGAAACTCCCTTTAGGGTTGGTTTTAATTTTTGTTTTTATAGTTAAGGTGGTCAGTTTGTTTTTCTTTTTTTTTGGATAGAAGTTGGAGGTCTCATTAAAAACTCCCTTCGTATTCGTTCACATACTAAAGGTATGTTAACGAACATTGGAAGGAAGAAAAGAGTACCTCAAATTTTATTGATAAAATACCCGATACAAAAGACACCACGGAATATCCTCTCATGGTGATGTACACCATTACAACATACACCTTAACCTCATATAACCTCATCCAAAGCCACAGTCTAATCACCTTATATCTAATTACACCACCAACAGTAGGAATAAAACAGTGCAACAGAACATAATACAAATTAAAAGCAACACCTACAATCATATAGACTAAAACAACCACAATTGAAGAGACAAGATCTAATGGGACTCGTCTTCTTCAGGAGCCTAAGAGTTTGGTTTGAATGAAGGCTCTATCTCATGCACCATGACCTTGAAGAAGTTGTCACCAACCTTCAATTCCACCATCGCATCAATTCTCGCATCAGCCTTTGTGAGGACTTGAATTTTTGCTCGATCAAAGGATGATGGAGACTGACAACTTTCGTCGATAGCTAGTAATAAACCCCACCTATCAGCAATGTTCTTGAAAGTATCCTAATTCCATGCGTGAAAAGGAACACCCTCGCAAACTAACCATACTCGACAACACTCCATTACCAAACTCTCTAACCAAGTTTCAACTAAGGAGAACCACTCTGCGAGAATCTTTGATTTATCGTTCTTCACACTTCTCAAAGAAGCATTGTCTTCGAAAATCATTAAAATCGCATTACTAGCAGCTCTCATTAAGGTGAAGCCAGTGAGGCCCTTCGCTTGCATTTGTCTGGCGAGATGACCAATTTTGACAAAGTCCTTGCACCACCCCACTAGACAATTGCTGAACGCCTGAAGTTTTTCTTCATCTATAACACCTTCAACTTTAAAATGATTCTTCCTCGAAACATCTTCCATCCCGGACTTGCGAAGAACACCTGTCGAAGACTTTCTCTAATAGGAATGTCGAGGTTTGAATTTAGCAAAAGAAACACCAATTTTGCTGCCGTCAATACGAGAGCCATTCATTTTTGAGATCACTCTCCTTGCTTCTTCGATTGATGCGAAGCGAATAAAACCAAAGCGAACTCCTTTTGAATTCCTTTTATTTGGGATAAAAGCATCAAGTACCCGACCATGAGAGCAAAATAAAGATCCATACCTCCCCCAATGAATCTTCTCTGGTAAATTTTCAACAAATAATGTGAAGCATCCAGACTTGTGTAGAAAACAGATTGTGTAGAAAACAGACTGTAGAAAACAGACAAGTCTGTTATTTTTATTCTTGTGTACATTCAATAGAACATATTACATATTTATATACAAATTATGCCTCTAAACTAGGAAACTCTAAGAAAGGAAACTAATCCTAGGAGATGTAATCCCTTGAAATAAGGGATTGAAAAACAGAAAATAATTACATAATCTCTTAACTTAAGGGATTGACAACTCATTTCTATAATTCCTACACTCCCCCTCAAACTGGTGTATATATGTTGTATATACCCAGTTTGAATGACATCTCATCAAAAGTCACTCGTGGAAGGGCTTTGGTGAAGATATCTGCCAGCTGTTTCTTTGTCGGAATGTACTGCAGTTTTGCAACTCCATTGTTGACCTTCTCGTAAATAAAATGTCTGTCTATCTCAATGTGTTTCGTTCTATCATGCTGCACTGGGTTTTTTGCTATACTCATAGATGATTGACTGTCACTAAAAATCTCAAAATTCTTCTTGTCATCTAAGTCCAGTTCTGTGAGCAGTCTTTTAATCCACATTCCTTCACATATTCCGAGAGCCATTGCTCTAAACTCTGACTCAACACTACTTCGAGAGACAACAGCTTGTTTCTTACTTCTCCAAGTCACCAAATTACCCCAAACATAGGTACAGTAGCCACTAACTGACCTTCTATCAGTTAATTCACCTCCCCAGCTTGCATCCGTATAAACCTTCACTGTTCTGTCTTGATTTTTTCTAAATATAAGTCCAGCTCTTGGGACAAATTTCAAGAACCTTAAAATTCTGTTAACAGCTTCCAAATGTTCTTCTCGAGGATCACTCATATGTTGGCTGACAATGCTCACTGAGTATGCAATATCAAGCCTGGTCAGTGAAAGGTAGATTAACTTCCCAACTAACCTTTGGTAGGTTTCCTTGTTTACTGGATTTCCAGTCCTTTCCTTGCAAAATTTCAAGCCTGGCTCCATTGGAGTTTCAACTGGTTTGCAGTCGAGCATCCCAGTTTCTGCAAGAAGATCCAAAACATACTTACTCTGGTTTATGACCAGCCCTTCCTCGGACCTTGCAACTTCCATACCCAGGAAATACCTCATACTCCCTAAATCCTTGGTTTCAAACTCCTTTGCAAGATTCATCTTTAGCTTTTCTATTTCTTCTATATCACTGCCAGTTATAATCATATCATTTACATAGACAATTAGGAGGGTTATCTTACCACTCGGTGCAATTTTTCTGAATAATGTGGGATCCGCTTGGCTTTGTTTGAAACCATTCTGTGTCATGGACTTAGCAAATCGATCAAACCAAGCCTTGGGAGACTGTTTTAAGCCATATAAGGATTTATTGAGCTTGCACACAGTTTTCTTAGTGACCTTTCCTTCTAATCCGGGGGGACCTCCATGTATACCTCTTCTTCAAGGTTCCCATTCAAAAAAGCATTCTTTATGTCCAGCTGATGTAATTTCCAATCCATGTTAACAGCTACTGATAACAATATTCTGATGGTATTCAATTTTGCAACCGGTGCAAAAGTCTCCTGGTAGTCGATGCCATAGGACTGAGAAAAACCTTTAGCAACCAGCCTTGCCTTGTATCTTTCCACACTCCCATCCGAATGATATTTGACTGTGAATATCCACCTGCATCCAACAGCTCTCTTCCCTTCTGGCAAATCTGTCAAACTCCATGTCTTATTCTATTGCAACGCTTTTATCTCTTCTTCCACAACCTTTTTCCACTTAGGAGATTGAAATGCTTCTGTCACATTTCTTGGGATTTTCACAATGTTAATGCCGACAGTGAAGGCCCTGAAATTAGACTGTAATTTCCCATATGCAACATACTTATTTATGGGATGAGCAGTGCATTTTCTTACCCCCTTCCTAATAGCAATAGGAAAGTCATCAAGATCAACAATAGTAGCCTCTTGGTAACCATCATTACCTTCTGTTTCAGCTGCAACAGGATCCGAATCTGGTTCTTGGCAAATGCTAGGCTGACTGATTTCTTCAGCAACATCTTTCCTTCTTGAGTAAACACTGAATTGTTTCGGTTGGGGAGTTATGGTTTCAGGGTCATTGTTAGGTGCATTTTTGGTAGTGGTGGAAGGTGTTTTGCACGGACTAGAGTGCTGAGATAAGGAGGAAGGTAGTTCATCAGAGTTATTTAGGTTATTCCCATCACCCTCCCTAAGAACTGGGACAGTGCTAGCCGGCTTTGGAGAGACAGTAATAGGTAAGGAAAGGATAGGCTGTAAAGAAATATCGGTTTGAACAGCTTGAAATTCCTTGTAACTAATAGGCTGTAAAGAAATATCGGTTTGAACAAGCTGAAATTCCTTGTAACTCTCCCCCTGAATTTCTGTTCCTGAAAATAAGGTTGGTTTTCAAAAAATGTAACATCAAAGGAGACATAGGTCTTTTTTGTGGAAGGTGAGTAACACTTGTAACCCTTCTGACTCAAAGAATAGCCCAATAACACACTTTATGGACCTAGGATCTAATTTCCCTCTGTTGTGGATATGAACAAAGGTTGTACACCCAAACACCCGAGGAGAAAGACTTGAGTTTAAATGTTTAAAATGGGGATACAGCTGAAACAGAACCTTAGTAGGAATTTTGAAATCTAAGGTCTTACTTGGCATTCTATTGATGAGGTAAGTGGCTGTAAGAAGAGCTTCCCCCCAAAGATACATAGGAGCATTAGCAGCAAACATAAGAGACCTAGTAACCTCTAGAAGATGTTTATTTTTCCTTTCTGCTACCCCGTTTTGTTGAGGTGTGTTGACACAAGAAGTAAGGTGAACAATGCCTTTTTCCTTAAAGAAATACCCAAGGGTTTTATTCAAATACTCACTCCCATTGTCACTCCTTAGAATTTTGATTTTTGTGTCAAATTGGGTTTCAACTTTTTGATAAAAACTTTTAAAGAGAGACTCAACCTCAGATTTTTCTCTCATTAAGAAAACCCATGTTGTCCTAGAGTAATCATCTATAAAAGACAAACCACTTATACCCAGAAATACTTTTGACAGGAGAAGGGCCCCAAATGTAACTATGGATGATGGAAAAAGGTGTTGTTGGTTCAAATTTTACTATGCAAGTCTAGGAACATAGAGGACATTATGAAGTAGTAGATTTTTGTTTAATGTAACAGAACCACTCCCTTTGACTGTAGTGAGAGAGCCATCTGCTATTTTGGTAGAAGCTGGTAAGCTGCTTTCACTATATTCCTCCAAGAGATCAATATTTCCTGTCATATGATCTGATGCACCCGAGTCTATTATCCATTGTACCGAGGAAGCATATGGATTATTTCCATCAGTAGTAGTATAAGTCACATTTGTAGGCTTGGCTGTCATACTGCTCAAAATCTGCTGCAGTTCTTCTATCTGTTTCTTGCTAAAACTGCTTGAGGAATCATCTTGAGAGGCAATATGAGGCTCCTTTTGAAACCTGGACCGTGTGGGCTGCCAATCGGCTGGTTTTCCGTGCAGCTTCCAACATTGATCTATCATATGGACTGGCTTCTTACAATGTTCACACCAAAGGCGATTTTTCTTCAGTTGCTTTGAAAATTTGAAATTTGAAATCTGAAAATCATATTGAGAGGGGCTGGTCTGGGAAGTGATTTCGGATGCTGAGGGATCCAGATTAGCCATAAAAAAATTGGGTTGAATAGGAATTGATTTAAAGAGAAGCGGAAATCGGATTGATCGCTCTAACCTGATACCATGTAGAAAACAGACTGTGTAGAAAACAGACTGTAGAAAACAGACAAGTCTGTTATTTTTATTCTTGTGTACATTCAGTAGAATATATTACATATTTATATACAAATTATGCCTCTAAACTAGGAAACTCTAAGAAAGGTAACTAATCCCAGGAGATGTAATCTCTTGAAATAAGGGATTGAAAAACAGAAAATAATTACAGAATCTCTTAACTTAAGGGATTGACAACTCATTTCTATAATTCCTACAACTTGTCAACTCTGCACCCCTTTGTGATTGACTCCCTGGATCCTTCGTGTACACCATTTATTGCAGACTTGTCTTCGCAACACACCACTATAACAGGCACATGAATACTAGGAGATGCTACAGAAGCTGGATTTGGCAATGACAGTACTGGAGGAACATGAGAACCTCCATACTTGTCCAAAGCATCAGAATCTGTAACTACAACTTTTTTAACAAGATTCTTCCTTGCCATCTCGATGTGCAATAGGGACTTCAACTTAGCATCAAAAACCATTTTCTGAAGGGAATCCTTGGTAGCAACTGCAAATTTAACAGTTGAGAAGAGAGCGAAACCCTTGGGCTTATCTCCCTTGAAGCTCAAATGCGAATCTTCAAAACCTGGAAGCCATCTCAGAAAATTCTGCAGCTCTCTCTCTTTGACATCTTCAGGCAGACCCATAATGAAAATAGTGCGAACTACATCATGATGAGAAGGGTGAGATGGCAGAGAATGCGCGGCTGCAGAGGGTGGAGGAACTTGGACCGGAGGTCTCTGCTGAAGAGAAGGGAGGATTCCAGCACCCGACATGTGATGAAACTGTTGAAGTAAAAAATCCAGTGACCAGACGAAATTCCTGCAAGCTCGGCGATGGAATGCTGTGACTGCCGGTGAAGAAAAGAAGGGTGGAGGTGATGAAGAGATTCCAACAGGAAAAACTTAAGTCTGAGGAAAGAAGAAGCTGCGTAGAAGACCTTCAACTAACCATCAGAGATGGTTTAGAACGGGAGAACACCTTGACAAAACCAAGGCTGTTCTGTTTTTGACTAACCGGACAAAGAAAGAATCTCAGATGATGACAGCGAAGTCCGGACGCTAGAAGAAGGGATTAGTTCGCAAGAGAGCGACGAGCCTAGTGGAATGAGGGTGAACTGGAGACGGACGCCGGCGTAAATCGATGAAAAATGGTGTTTAGATCTGCACCGATTGAATGACTTTCTCGTAAATCTGATCTGGAAAATGGAATCAGAGTGAGGAGACGATCTTCCAGAGGAAAAACGACGGCCAACGGATGACGGAGTGTGGCGGGCGGCGGACGTAGTTTGTTTTTCTTTTCAATCAAAGCAAAGATTTTTTCCAAAAAAAAAAGGTGAAAATAACCTAATTAGATGAACTGTCATTTAAATGCTCTGTCGATTGGAGCCTGAATGCTATGAATTGGTGATCATACTCCTAAGGACTTCATCTTTATCATATTAGATCTTTTATGCTTGGCCTTTTGAAATGTTTTCAGTTGTCAACTAAATATTTTAGTTTTATTTATCAGGCATACTCTTTCTTACTGTGTTGGTAAAGCAATAGGGTGGTCCTTTTGGTGCCCCTGCAGATGGTTCTCTTTCTGGCCTTGTAGTTTCATCTAAATGTACTTACAGTATGGGTTTTTGAAAGCTGCATTTGTTTTTTATGCCTTTGAAGTCTTATGTTTCATTTTGGATTGAATTAGGTTTGTTTCATTTCAGGGATATAATCAACCTTCATCAGAAGTTCCAACCATTGGTAATCAGATTTCACCTTCACAGAAGACCCTTGCATCACCTCAGAACCTACCTCCTTCCTTTCATCTGCACCCCTCAGCACCTGTATCATACTCACAGACACAAACTGCGAATGTTGGTCAACTTCAAGTTTCCCATACTGCTAGTCATACTTCATTCGGTCCGGCACATCCCTCACAAAATTTAGCTGGTTTGAGCAGCCAGTTGCCTGCGTCTCGGCCACAAGTTCAGCAGAATGCTTCGTCTGCTGAAGCCCTACCACCCAGTTCTGTGGCCATTGCTGCAAATCAACAACAGATACCTGTTCCTACCCAGCAGCAACTGCTTCAACCACTTCAGCAGTCCCCTTCTCAGCTAGCGCAGATGCTGTCTCAGCAAACACAAACTCTGCAAGCAAGTTTTCAATCATCTCAGCAGGCATTTTCTCAGCTGCAACAACAATTGCAGCTGATGCAGCCTTCAAATCAAAATATGACAATGCAGCAGAATTCACAGGCTCCTAAACAGCAGGTATGTCGGGCTATGATGGTCAGATTCACACAAGAATAATATTTTGCAAATGTAAGTTTAGGAATAAGGCTTACCACGTCAATTTTTAGGGAGACAAGGGCCAATGTCATAATTTCAGCTCAAAGAATTCTTCAGAAAAAGTTTTCTAAAAATACTCTTCTGCAATAAAAAAATAACTATTTTAAATGGTAACTCTCCTCCATCCATGTGTATCGGACATCTTGATGTCAACATGCCTTGCACATTATCATTATCTGAACTGCTATCTTCCCATGTTAAATCGTGCTAGTTGCTAAAAGATTTGTTTTTATGGTGGCATCTGCTGTAAAAGTTGTACTGTAATGATTATACTGAGGATTTTGCTTGGTGCACTGCCAGTGGGCTGGGATGACACCACAGACTGTCAGCAGCAGTCCTGCTAGTACTCTCAGTAAAGATGTTTCTTCATCTGCATCTGCTGCTGTTGCACCTGTTAGGGCGCCAGCAGTAGCTTCTGTAGAATGTCATTGGACAGAGCATACTTCACCTGATGGATTCAAATACTATCATAACAGTCTAACACGTGAAAGCAAGGTGAGAAATTTATTTGATTTCCAGCTGACTGTTGGAGAGTTTTTTTAATTAATTCATTAATTTGTTTTCGGTTTTGACGAGTTTGTTTCTGTATCTATATGCAGTGGGAGAAGCCTGAAGAATTAACTTTGTTTGAACAACAGCAGCAACAACAGAAGTATCTGGGTCAACAAACTCAGTTACACGCTGGTCAACAAGCTCATTTACAGCCTGGCCAACAACCTTCACAACAGGCCCAGCTTCAAACACAGATTCGCCATCATCCACAGTTACAGCAGCATATGTATCCTGCATTGGTTGGTTATCAACTTTATTAATTGGATTTTATTGTTAGATATTCAGTTGTGGAAATGTTAACTCTGCTTTGTAGAAATGCTAACTCTGCTTTGTGGAAATCCAGTATTCACTTTCTGGAGTTAGAAATCAACAAAATACACAGGTAATTTTATACCAACAGCTCAGCCAAATAAGAAAGAAAACCTCAAGAAAGCATGTCAATCAACACTGTCAAAACTTCTCGTCAAATCATTTCACTATAAATTGCTGTTTTTCCCCTTTTCTTTTGGCAGCCCCTTTACTGTTCCTAGTGTTGTAAAGGCATTCTTGTTTTCACACTAGGAATTCAATGTGTCATAAGGTCTCATATTGTTTTGGATCTTTTGATGCTACTAGGAACTTGGTTATGGACAATTACCGGTGGCACCATCACCCAATGATACATCACACTTCCAACAGGTATCATGTGTTTTAATTTCCGTTATTCTGTCTCATTAGACAACAATATTCATTTCTTTGGTGTATTTGCTGCAGGGACTTCAGATGGTGCAGGATTTAACATGGAAGAATAAACCATAAGGTTTTAATTTTAATTGCTTTTTGGTTAGCATTTTCCCTTTCTACTGCTTGTTCATCTAGAATAGAGAGAAATTAGAGAAATGGAAATTAAAACTGTTAGACACTACACAAATATTTAGGCTGGGATGGAACTATGTACACTGGGAGGGTCCCCAAAATTTTCTGGTTCAGTTACAATTTAGGTACATACTAGTTTTGAAATTAGTAGCCTCTTGTTTTTATTTAATTACTTCTTCGATCCTTGTCTGTCTCAAAGTTAAGCAATTTGACCCCCAATGTTTTCCTAGTTCTGTCCATGTGTTTACGCAATATTTGATCACCGGTTCAAGCTATTCTATTGCATGCTTCATGCATCATTCATTTTATTAAGAGGAAGGTCCTTACACTATGCTTTTTTGGTGGATTTAGTCCCTCTACTATAATTTGGTCATTTCTACTATATGAGTGTATTTTTAGTTCTGAGGTCAACCTTTCTTTTGTTAATTCCATCAGGCAATTTGATGTCTTTTTAAATAGGTAAAAAAACAAAACCTGCATAGACCTTCTATAGATTTGAACTTGTATTGATCTTTGCCTGATTGGGACTGTGGTTTCAATCTCCAGGGACTTGGAAGCTGAAGAGAATCTGCTCATGGGAACAAAATTTTGTTGTTGATGAATGCTAGCCAATCGATAATAACAAATATAGTGATGGCGATGGCACGCATGTAACCAGATCAGATGTGTCATAGTAGCTAAAATATTATGTAATAGTAACCTTGTCAGAGTTTAGTGTGGCAGACATTGCCTGCTTCCTGCAGTTACTGGCATTTCGAGCCTGTGCCATTGAGAAGTTAGTGAGGGCAATGGAATCCGTCTGTATGTAACATAGTGATGTTATTTGCTATAGTAACCAGGTACACATAAAAAAGGAGCTTTATCGTGATGAATTGGATTCTCTAGGGTTCTATAATTTCAAATCCCATTCTCAGAATGGGAGAAGTCTTACATTTTCCTATATTCTGATCATAATCAAGTGAGGAAGCACTTAGGACCTAAACAATCACAAACTTGGCTTCTCTTTAGACGTGCCGTTGTTTTATCAGATGAACAGGTCTTGTTGCTGAATTGGTCGTTGACGACATGAACAACCGTCTTATAAAAGGTTAACATGGCTTTCAATTAACATGCTGGCGAAACAAGTCGTCACAGCCTTTCAATTAACAGTTTTTGGATGTTTAACGGTGAAATTAATGTCGTTTCATCAAGCACAGTAGGGTTGTACCCAAATAGAAAGCCCGCGCCGAAAGCACAGGAATTGGTGGATTTCATATGCAAGAAAAACGCTTCGGCCCCCGTCTTGTCAGCTTGAAACCTTTAACCCCAAAGCTAAAAGGATGGCAATGCCCCTTCCCATTCCGACCTCGATCTGAAGCAGTACACAAAATAAAAAAAAAACAGAACAACCCACGCTCGCCTTTTCTTATACAGAACTAGGGATGGTAAACGGGTACAGTTTCGTGGATTCCTCACCGCATCCGCTCCAATTGGAGCGGGGATGGGTATAATTTTAGCGGGTAGTGGGCGGGTGTGGATTTATAAAGTGGTACCCGTCGTGGGTGGTGGGCGGGTAATGGGTTTGAGACATTACCCGCCCCGCATCCGCCCGTCCCATATTCGCCCGCCCGCCCCATATCCGCCCGCCCAGCTAAATATCTATTAAATTTTGGACCATTATGAATTTAGGTGTAATTTTAGAGACTAATTTATAAATTTTAATATTATATAATATATAACATAATTTAACTAAATATTAAGGATATTTAGTCTTTAATCTGGTATTTAATTAGGGAAATATTCGGCTCTTTGATTAAACCCATAATCCCACTAACCACGTCACTTTCCATGTTATTTAGCCCATGCTGCCCATCCAAACACAAATTAGCCGTACTATAAGCATTAACATCAAAAGCAGCAGTTTCCATGTTCTTTAGCCACTCAAAACCCATATTAGGCGCACTATGAGTATTAACATCGAAAGCAACACAACAATCCAGCTCTGCGACTACATGCTCCCTACAATCTGTCTCCATAACATTCGTAGAGCCCCTCCTCTGACAAATTGAAGCATGCGCTGCTACCCCATCACGAACTGTCTGCGAACCAACTCCAACATCTCATTAGTTTGTTGTCAGGCGGGTCTAGATGGGTATGTCGCTAGTGGGTAGTGGGTGTGGGGATGGATTTGAAAATGTACCCGCGTGGGCGGGTGTGGATTTGAAAATTTGTACCCATCATGGGTGGTGGGTGGGTGGTGGATTGAAAAATAGTAGGTGGGTATGGGGATGGGGGAAGGGGTATCCGCACCCGATCCGCCCGTTTGCCATCCCTATACAGAACCCTCCCCCTGCTCGAAGCTCAAAAAACAACTTTATTTCTAACATTTCCTTGCAAAACTTACAATGCACCTTCTCTAGACAATTACTCAAATTCTTTGAGAAAATAATATTTTCTTTTACTATCGAAGCTACCTAGTAAGCTCTAGATGTTATTTTTAAACTATGTAAGTAGATAAACGGACAATGTCAATATTTCCCTTTGCTCTTTATTCTTAATTTGTGACATTAAGTAAATCAGTGATTAACCCATGTTTAATATATATATAATTGTAATTATGAAGCAAGATTAACCTCCATAAGTTATGATGCTTTGGAGGGCCAACTTCTGCTGTCATCGGCATATACTGTTCTTTTTTCATGCACGTGGTTCAGAATTCTAACCCTAAAAAGCTCTCATCTGTGTATCAGTTTTGTGTGTGTAGATATGTAAACATTCACACACAAGCATTACCGTTATGAAATGGAAGATGCTGTCAAAGCAGCTGTTCAATGCCAAACCCACCTTGAAGATAAAAAGATATACTTGTAGATTTTTTTGTTTAATTATCAATATTTGGTCTATTAATCGTCTAACTCATATCAGATGTTGTAGAATTCCATTTATAAGGAAGATCATCTCAATCCAATTGTTTCATTTGCAATGTCATGATTCGAACTCCTAATACATTTAATTCCTTATCTCTTATTTTTATTTTTACTTGTTCATATGAACATGAGATAATGCATGTACGAGGGTCTTAACAATATTGTTTTGATTTTGTTCGTTTTATACGCCCTTAAAAATAATAAAATGATATGTTATAATAATTAATTAAATAATTTACTTTGCTATATATTTAGTGAACTCAAAAAGATTTCCCTTTTATTCTTGTTCCATTTATGAAATTCTAGCGTGTATACATAGAGACTTTCAATGACAAGAATATATGCATAAGCCGATCTATACATCATTAGAAATATTCCTTTTTAGGGAGATAAAATACAAATACGGTTACAAAAACAAGTATAAATAATACATCCGAAAACTATTATTAGATGTACACAGCAAGATATAATTAGATGAAAAATCAGAATTTATACATAATCATGAGTAAACATTATAGTATAAGTTGACTAAAAATTGTACTGATGTATACCCTTATCTAAACCACGCTCTGATTTAAACTAGAAACACCTAGAAAGGAATTTACACAAGGCCAAACGAAAACTCACATCAAGTGACGAATTTAGAAATTCAATAATATCGAGGGTTCAATTTTTTTTAATATAAAAATATAAATTTCTTTTTTCTCCCCTTAATACACGGAGTTAAATTTAACAATTTATAACAAATACTATTTTAAAATCACCTAAACTGCAAAAAAAAAATAAACAGCTTTCTCAAAATAATATGTATGCAGTGACTCCACTCTAAGATTGCATACATCTGCCCCTACTCAGATGTATATGAATCTACATATAGTAAATTTCGAATATGGAAAATCAATGACCCCATGACTGCCTGTCAACCAAGGCCTCATTGCCAATATCAAATATTCTTTTGACGTGATTGCCAATGGATGGTATATCTACTACTATGATCCATTGCTATTTCTCCTTAATCTTCTGCATTAATTATATCTTGAATGCCAAGTAATTGAGCATGTTTAGTTTATAATATCGAGAAGATTCATAGAAACAGATCAATCGATCAAATTATTTTCCAAATATCCAACACAAATACGAACCTCATTTAAACGAGAGCATGTTGGTTTTTTATATTATTTACCGTCTTACCGATACTATCAATTACAACCGAATAATTTTGTTTATATATCAATGATCCATCTCCAATCTCCATAACTTAAATAGGAAGGAAAAGGCTAATGGGAACATGTTTAGAAGTTAATGTTCTTTTTCTTAGCACCTTCCATCAATGTACTTCAAGATATCGCATTCAAACAATAAATTTAGCCTTTAGCACATTGTTTTCACTGCCCTACCCTCTTGCTCTCTCTTTACCTTTGTAGGTTACACTTTTTAGAGGTTAAAGTGTTTTGACCCTTACAAAAGCCACAATAATAAATAGTCTTCATGCGACTTTTCGTCGTGAAGAAAACCCTAACCCTAAACTCTACTTCCCTGCTACGTTATCTCCCTTGAAAATTATGCACACGAATGAAAAGGAAAGAAAGGAGGAAGATGACTGTTATGCATTGTAAAATGGAAGAATTAGCAAAAAATAAATAAAACCCAATATTTCCATCACTAAATTCTCTTTAAATACAAAGAATAAACCACAAAAAACAACCTGCAAAAGACTAGTGATTTTACACATATATATGGTGAAATGGGTTCTTCATGTAAAGATAAAATCCCACATGGATCAGTTAGTGAAGGATTAGGAAACTGCATACCATTAAAATTATAATTAAAAAATATATCTTACTGTTCTTCCTTTGCCTCTTTCATCATCTGTGTTGGAACAATATCTTGAAGAAGTCCATGATCTCTGATCAAGGAAGCTGAAGAACTAGGAGTATTAAAACGTCTCTCTTGAAGGAAATTAGGGAACGAGGCATTGAAGCTAGTAGTAGTAGCAGTAGTAGTACAAATGTTCAATAAAGGCGAGTGTACTTGTTGCTGCTGCTGCTGCTGATGTAAATACTGAGGTTGAGGCACACTGAAACCGGAGGGATCCAGGCCGATCCCGATCGTTCCTCGGGGCGTTGCCGGGTACATATGCGTATGTTTCCCTTCGTACGTCGTGACGACGATAGTCGGATCTTCGTATGTTCTCTCGACTCTCTTCTTCACCCCACATCCTGCACTGGTGCAACGATAATAGCTCCTGTTTTGGAAAACGCAGATTGAAAGAAAGTTACAAAGAGAATGCCCTTCCTACTAGTATGAAAATGAAAGTTCAATTCTCGGGAAGCAAGGAAACATTAGTGGACCATATCAAAAAAGGGGAATTTAGATTAGATTTAAATATATACGAATGTGAATGTATATGTATAAATACCTGGGAAAAGGGCTATTTTTCACAGCCTTTTGTCCATACTTCCTCCAACGGTAGCCATCATCTAAGTGATCAACTTCACTCTTTGTCATGAAAGCAAATCTCGGCTCCCTTGGCCTTTTTTGGTTCTTCTTTTTGGGTTTCAACCTAAAACCCCATAAAAGTAAAACTCAAAAGCTTTTTACTTAAAGAATCAGCAAACACAAGCAAAATAGTTTACACATACATACGTACATACACATGGCCTTGAAAACATAAATGAGAATCGAAGAAAGATTACCGTTTCTTGGTCTTGTCTTGATCCTCCTCTTCTTCTTCTTCGTTATCTTCAACTTTGGTTGGCTCATGAATATCATTTGCAGCTTCATTAGATGAAGAAGAGAAGGAAGAAGAGTTCGGTGTTGTCGGGTTGGTTAAAATCTCTGAATATTCGGGCACGGTGGAAGCCGGCGATGGAAGGCCTTGTAGTTGTTGTCGGTGAAGTTCAGACGACGTTGACGGCGGCGGTGGTGGAGGCTGAAAGGAATCGAATAAAGACGGAGCAATGAATTCTTGACTGATGCCGAGCAAGTCCATGAAACCTAAAGACGCCCACTTGTTATCGCCGCCACTAATACCTTCATATGCCGCCATGTCAAAGATGCCTCCACCGAAACTAGTAGCTGTCACCGCCGGATGCTCATCGGAAAAGCTCAAATTCGCCATGGGATTCGCTCTCTTCTTCTCCATATACTTCACATATTCTCCATTTTCTTAAAAAAAACACAAAAGAAACCCGAAGTTTTTATCTTTGCGTTACCCCGAAAAAGAACCTTTTTTATCCTTAAAAAAGGAAGAAAATTATAGGAAAAAAAGAGAAAAGAGTAAGAAAATGGTGTGAAAAGAAAAGGGGTTGGGAATTTGGAGAACAGCTGAGCTCGGATTTTAGAGGTGAGGTGACCGGCTATTGCCTGTTAATTGGGAGTACAGTACGTGGCGATTAAGGGGAAGGACGGTGATGGACGCATTTAGTGCTTATGGACCGCCCCCTTTCGAAATGACTTTTATGCACTTTGAATTGAATTATTTGGGGGGAAAATAATTATACATATTTCGTGTTCATGATATTCTATTTAAATAAATATATAGTTTGAGTAATAACTAAGGATTTGTATATGAATTTTGGGCCACAAAAATTCTTAAATAATGTGAGATTTTTTTAAAAAAAAATTATTTAGAAAGCTGAGAAAAATATTTGTTGAGATATGATGATTGTTATAATATCGGTAGAATTATTTTACTAATATTGGTATTTCAATTACATAGAGTAGTGAAGACATCGTGTTTATTAGGAGTCTCTCAACAAATATTTTTCTAATAATTTAAATAATTCAATCTTTTTTCATATCTCTTTCAGATTAAATAAAGACATCGAATGATTCATATCTCTTTCTATCGACACTGCAAACACATAATCTTAAAGATGGATATTCTATTTGTTTTAAATAATACTAATTTTTAATTTAATTTATTTAAATATTATATAAAAGTAAAAAAGTACTTTTATTATGTTATTAATTAACATTAAAAATTACTTCAATCATTTTTAATTAATAATATATATTATTTTAACTTTTTTATTTTAATAGTCAATATTTAATTTATTGATTTATATTAAATATAATAAAACTTAATTTATAGGTGTGAACCTTCAATTTACTCTATTCTATTGCAAATATGTATTATTTTTATTTTAATTAACATAAGATTAGACAATTATTCCTTTTTCCCCCTGTAAAATTTATATAATTAATGATAGTAAGAATATAATGAAAAAGATTGCAAAGGAAATGCAGCCACGTCAACGTATTCGAACTTTTATCGTACGAGACAAGCTGGAAAAGGAAAGAACCGCGTTACGAAATGATGACATAAGCTATGCGTCAGCAGAGTCCTCTTCATCTTCCCCGTCAAGCCAGCATCGTCGTCGCCGCCACTTTATTATTATTATTTTCTAATCCATATTTATTTTGCAATTTATATTTATAGTTAGTCAATTTTCTTTTTAATAACGTGATCATGTTTCAGAACAAGTATTTTATTTAAAAATACAATATATTTTATTATTAAATCTAACATATAATTGTATAAATAATTACTTTTATTTTTTTTAAAAAATACTGATAGTCTCATTATTCTAATTATTAACTGTTACTAAAACTTCTCGTGTAGAATTCAAACCTTGGTTCTTTTTGTGATCATTCATTTTTTTCACAAATAAATAAATAAATAAAATTTACTTATTTAATTTAAATTTAAATCAAACCGATCTTTTTTCAGCAATAGCAATTGGATTTTTTAATAAAAATTACAACTAGAGGTAAGCAAATTCGACTCGACTCGAAAAATATTTTTTTTTACTCGACTCGAATTAACTTCTAGTTATTCTAAACTTAACTCGACTAGTTTTTTTTTAAATTTCAAAACGAGTTATAAAATACAACTTGAACCACTCGAATAATACTTCAAATAACTCAAATTTTTTAGTAATTAATGGATTGGTTTTCAAGTTTAAGTCAATTCTCTTGACTCTGTATAATATATGTATATCACACATGAATATATATATGATTATAAAAGATATTTAACAATGAAACATACCATTGAGAATGATCACCAACATCAAAAAAAATTAGTAATCTTCATAAAAATTCATTGTCTCTATCAAATGAAACATGTTACGAAGTGAAAAACGAGTGGTGAGTGAAACGAAACTATCTGACAAGATGTTTCACTACTCAATTCTGATTATATTAGAAAAAAAAACCTTTTACCAAATAGGAGATTTGATTATACATGACCACCGACAAACCAATTAGAAATAAATGTCGTGATGGTTTTTGTGTAAACACCAAAAAGATTACAAAGGTATATGAAAAACATTCCAAAAGTGATAAGAATCGTGGGTAGAGAAATCACGTGCCACAAAAACAGAGAAAGACATGTCACATAGACAGAGATTATTATTCAAAATTTTAAAAAAAAACTCAAGAAAAAAAATAAAACAAAAGGTATAATATTAAAAAAGAAAATTAATAATCACCAGCGATTGGTGACTAATTTACAATTAATATTAAAATTGGTGCTATTGTCGGCTAAATGAAAATAAAAGGGGAAGAGGAAGACAATACAAATTCTTTTCAAAGAAAAAAAAGTAGGTTAAAAAAGTTAAAAAAAAAGTGTTAACGAAAATTCAATAAACCAATCTTACTTAAAATAAAATAGAATATATAGATTTAATTCACAATAGTCATAGCTTCTTAATAAGATGATTATCCAATCCGTTAATAAATTTGAACTAACACTTAATTGTGTTTCCATATTAATATTTCCAATTTGTATAGCTATAATTGTATGCTAATGTTATTACTATTTTATCTGAGTTTCATTAACAAATTGACGCATTTTTTATATTTTTATAATATATAAACAATACATATATGACTTAAGGTGTACCAAATTCTCAAAAAAAAATTTAAAAATAATTAAATGTTTAAATATTTCACATTAATTAAAGACTCAAATTGATAAATTAAATTAATTAGAACTCTGAAATGAAAAATTAATCTATTAAATTATTTGATTAACTTTAACAGTTAAATTATATATATATATATATATATATATATATATATATATATATATATATATATATATATATATTGAAATGTTGTTGATACATGACATACTGTGGTTCTATGATTTAAAATTTATAGATTTTTAAAGAAAATTTTAAGAAATTAAAATTTGAAAATAATTAAAAATTCTGAAACTACCACTTGACAATACTATATTATTACATTTGGCTCCAACTAATTTAAACAATTGTTAGATTTAATAATCAATATTAATTGAATTGACGAAAATTTTAAATATAAAGACTTAATTAAATGAAAAACATTTAAAAGCATACCTTTTCAAGTTATCCCTGCCGACAATATATTGTCATTTCAACGTATTATTAAATCGGTATATAGATTAGATTACTGATCTAATTCAATAAATGTAACTTAAATTTTTTAAATTAAATAAAAATATTTTAAATTTTAAATATATAAATAATAAAAACGGATTAAACTGAACTCGTCACAATTTTTTTTACCACAAGTAGCCTCATCTTAGGTAATTTTAGGGGGAGTGTAAATTAAAAAAAAAATCCCCAAAATGAAAAGGCAGAGAAGTTTCAGCTGCCTACGTAAAAATAGTTTGATCTGTGTTTTGTAATAAAATCCCCATTGGCCACGATACAAAACAAGTCACCCTGCTTCTGGTCCCCGAATCACGGCCGATGTCGGGACGGATCATCATATCATTGAATTACACGTGTCTTTTGTCTATTTTTCAATCCCACGTGTCGAATACAGCGGCTATCTTTTACTCATCAGCTTTCCAAACCACATGCACTTTTACGCGGTTTTAGTATATTCTCCCCCATCGCAATCGTTGCTTTCGATACACGCTTTCATTTTTACTACTAATATATAGTAATACTTTTGCTAATAATTTCTGCTATTTTTAAATAAAATAATAACATTCTTAAAATATATAACAGAATGGCACTAAAATAATATTTATGAAAAGAATGTGTCTGTCACATTCAATAAGCATCGGTAAGAATAATTAACAATGAGTATCGTTGAACACTTTTAATTTAATTTTAAAAAATAAAATTTAAAAGATTTAACGTATAATTATAATTTAATTAAAAATTTAAAAGTAAATTATGAAAAAATTATAATTTATGTTTAAAAAATATTTAAAAATTTATGAAAAATAATGTAAATAATATTTTATTTTAAATAATTAACCTTTAAATTTTTAACTAATTCATAATTATACATTGAGTCCTTTAAAATTTTAAATTTTTATAAATTATATTAATGGTGCTCAGCAGTTCTCAGCGTTAGTGGTGCTCAGCAGTTCTCAGCGTTAGTGATGCTCAACGGTGCTCGTGAGCGTTGTAGAAATTTTCTTATGAGAAAATATATATTTTCTGATTAGTTGTATTTGTTATGATCACGAGCCTAAAACTAGACAAGCGTGATTAGGGTTGTCTTGAGCTATTTTTATCACGTTTTGGACCTTTCAAAAGACCTAGGAAAGCTAGTCTGTCCACCTTGGAGAATGCAATAAGGTATGATAATTATCTGTAATTATTCCTTATCTTAAATTTTAGCTTCGTAGATAAGATTAGGGGTGTATTCGGTTCAGATCAATTTTCACTAAAATATGAACCTAATTTCACTTTGCAAGTTTTTGAAAATTGAAATCGAAACTAAAACCAAATGACATAAAAACTACAATTTTCGGTTCAGTTCAATTCAGTGATTTTTTTGTTCACAATTTTTAAAACTCAATCTCCAAAATGGCAAATTTAAATCTTAAATAGAGTGCAAATATATAAATTTAAATTCACATAAAATATTATTAGTTTTATAATTTTATTAATTTAAATTTTTCATATAATACATTCAAAATGAATTTGTTTTGAATGTTTATTTTTTTTTATTTTTTTATTTGGTTTGTTTCGGTTCAAACGGTTTCCATATGAAAAACTCAAAACCAAACCGAATTGTATATTTATTTTTTTAAACTGAATCAGAATTGAACCATAAATTGAAAAGCTTAAACCGAACAACATAATTTGATTCGAATTGGTTTTCAGTTTTCTCGATTTCATTGCTCAACTGTAGATAAGATATGCTTTCATCTTAACCGTTGATGTAATATAATCTTAACCCTTGAATAGAGGGGGCTTCAACTATAAAAGAAGGCTCACTCCCACTCATTTT